ACGCACCGTCGCCACATCCGCGCCGGTGACCGCCGTCGGTAGAGGTGTGAGGGCTGCAGTGATGACTACTTATACAAAACACGAAACGGCTGCGAAAATAATTTGCATTGCTCTCTGTCTATGGCTAGCAAGGATTGTTTTCTTGGCAACAATATGGTGGCTCTTCTGGCTTGCAGTGAGCCTTTTTTTCTTTGCACCAATTCGATTCGTTGCGCAGCTAGTTATTTGAGACAGTTTGTGCACGTAATCAATAACTACGCCATCAATGTGTCAAAAATCGTCCAGTTCCTATTTTCCGAGGTGCATCTGGAAAATGTTCGCGGCTCTCCGAGAATTCAGCGGCTTTCCCAAGTAGTTGTCGTCCCGGCACAGAACTGTATTCAAATGCTCATAGCGTAGACGAGTGGTTTCGTGTAGATAGAAGCTAAGGAAGGCCAGGAAAGGCTCGACAAGTCAGAGACATAGAACCGCCATAAAGATTCACCTGTATGATAGAGCGGTCCAAAATGACGATAAAGCACAAATTGACGAGACCCAAGCTTTGTCGTCAAACGCGGACCGCAAATCTGTAGATAGATAGAACGCTGCATAGCTGCCAACAAAGGCGGCTGGGACAGTCTATGAATACAAGTTCAAGAAGGAGAGGCCTGGGGCAAAAACACCACCACCAGCTCAGAACGAATTTTTGAAACGCGTAAAATTTGCCGATCTTTGCTATTAACCGGGGTCCTCTTAGGCATTTACTTCCATTAACGCGATAAGTCGCGTTAATTAGGTCGTTATGGCGCCTAAGTGGCCACAGGTAAACAATGGCCCTGAACACATCAACGAGCATGCCACGTACCTCAGAGAAGCATGTAACCAATTGCAGGCGGTAGACAGGGGTCGTCATAACCAAGTGCCATGGAACATAGTACAGCCATACCTAGACTCAACCATTTTGCTCATCGGAAAGGTCCTGAGACAGCCTGCTCTGCGCGAGATCCTCCAGCAGGTCGAAGACGCGGCCAAATGCACACAGAACATCCAAAACGACGTCACCATCATCAAGAACTCTGTCGGACTAAGCACTACTCCACTAAATGCATCCAACTTTAGCGGAACGCGGACACGAGGTGCCCCGATGTCTTGGGCACAGGTTGCCGCCCAAGGCAAAGGCTCCCCGCCGCTCCCTCCACCAGTGTCTCACGACACAACCGCGAACAAGAATCAAACTACCGTCACGGCATACAAGGATCGCACAGTCACCGTCAAACTAAAGGACAATGGAATTATTCAGCGACACCGGACGCGCCCAGCGTCGTGGACCAAACAACAGGTCGAAACCGCAGTACGCACCAGCTCGGCCACTACATCGATCAAGATCGTCGCCGCACACCAACTCAAAAGCGGCGACATTCAGATTATCGCCAACACGACAGCGGAGGCCAAGCGACTCAAGCAAAACCAAGAGTGGATTAGAAGCTTGGGGGAAAATGCAGAACTCATCGTGCCAACCTACGGAGTAATAGTCCACGGCATCCCAACCAACTCTCTCAACATAAAGGACCAAGGAACCACTATCCAGCAGATGCTAGCCGACAACCACACAGTCATTCCCAGTGCCAGAATCTCCTACATCGGATGGCTCACGAAGGAGGCCCATCTAAAGCGCGCATCGTCGATTGTGGTTGAATTTATAGAACCCGAGATGGCGAATGCCATCATCTACGCCGGAATGGTATGGGATGGCCAAATTCACCAATGCCAACTCTATGACCGCGCCTGCCGAGTGAAGCAATGCTTTCGCTGCTATAACTACGGTCACATCGGCACTCAATGCAACGCATCCCAAACTTGTGGCTATTGTGCCGAGCAACATGAGTCAAAACACTGCTCACGGAAGGGTGTGGAGGGATTCGCACCACGATGCGCAGTTTGCAAAGACGCTCACACTGCATGGAGCAATGCCTGCTCAGCAAGAAAGAAAGAACTACAGAGAGTGGAACAAGCCAAGGATTCCCGCGACATCTACTGGCACGTGCCACGGAAGGAGATATCGGCGCGATCCGGAATCACGAACACAAACGAAACTGAAAACACCAGAGATACCGGCAGCAACGACAGCAGGAGCAACAGGCGCCGTGTCCTAGCTCCGGTACCCGCCCCGGCCTCAAGCCCGGCTCCTCCCTGTCTAATCACCCGGTGCTCGGCAAACGCCCCATTGCCGGTAGTGGTGGAAGTGGATTCACCACCGGCAGTGCAGGCCCAACAAACACAGCAGGCCACGGAAACCGGGACCGCATCAGAACAAATGACGGTACCAACAGCATCAAGCCCCTCAGTGGAAGATATGTGGATGAATCCAGATCTCACGGCCGAAACAGCCACACCTACGGACCAATATTCGGCAAGTGATGAAAACGGAATGGGCCCAAGCCTGGGCAAACGACAAACACGGACGCGATCTGTTCAAACTCGG